CCTCTTGTGTGTTATTTTAAAAATTTTAATATTTCTTACTAACTCATGAAGCCATTAACTTACTTGGTTTTCAGTAAGTCTATTTCTTGGATATGGCTCAATCCCTTCCTGATATAAGGTACGCTCCTTCCAATTCTCTCTTCCAGAGATTTTATTTTTTTATTTCTTGGTATTCATAGAGTCTTTTTGGGACACTAACTTTTTCCTTTGAGTTACTGCTTACAATTGTTACCATATCATTTGCTCCTTCTTTGGGGGACTCTGTGGATCTACAACAATTTTTATACTATTTTTTTCTTTGATTTACTCATCTCTTCAGCTGGAGTTCCTGACTTGGAACTTTGTGCCAAGGTCAGGTTCCACCAAGTTGTGCTTTTTCGGGGAGAGGTCAGGTTATATGACCAACTTGTTCTCACCCTGAATTCCTGTGCTTGACTTCTGCCTCCTGGGGTTGATTCCCACTGGATCTCTGAGGTTGTGATGGATCCTTAGGGAACTTTCTGGCATGTTAAGACAGAGGTCAGGGACCCTGAAGGCCATGAGTCTAGCATGGCCCAGTCTAAGAACTGCCCTGCCACTCTGGCTGCTGCCCAGTTCTTGGGCTCTACTCTGTCTTTGACTGAACTGTGAAGCTAGGGTTTTGTTTTTGCATGTCTGGGCACCCACTTTGCTAGTGGCCCCCTTTCCTATTTTCCTTGGGTTTGTCTTGACATTTTAATGCAATCCTAAGGGGGAAAAAGAAATCACTTTAGAGTTTCTAATTTATTTCTTAATCATTATTTAGTCTGGTATGAATTCAGGTTTTTGTTGAAGTAGTATAAGCTGGGCAGTCTGCTTGCTATTCAGGCAGCTATCTGGGCCATAGTCCAAAGGTGTGATGTTGATGATGAGCCCACAAAGGAGATTAAGGAGTGACCAGACAGGATGAAGAACTTACTCTTTATCTCAAAATATCTCAAAACCCCTTGATGTCATCTCCCACTGTCTTTCTTTTCTCCAGATCCTGATAATATGTGTCCTCTTCACCAAAACCAACCCCATTTCACATGCCTTTGCTCTCATCTTCTCCCTCCTTTGCCTTCAGAATGCATCCTCAACCATACCTCATCTTAAATCTTCAACCTCTCCCTATCTACTGCATCTTTCTCTATTGACTTCAAAATGCTCAACCCTTTAACTTTCTTAAAAAACTTTACTAGACTCTACCAACAAAATTCCTTTAAAAAAATTGTCTACACCTCATGTACAAAAATATTTATAGCAGCTCTTTTTGTGGTGGCAAAGAATTGGAAATTGAGGGGATGCCCATCGACTGGGGAATGGTTGGACAAATTGTGGTATATGAATGTAATGGAATATTTTGTGCTATAAGAAATGATAAGCATGTGGATTTCAGAAAAACCTGGACTTACATGAACTGATGCTGAGTGAAGTGAGCACAATCAGGAGAACATTGTACACAGTAACAGCAATGTTATGCTGTGATCAACTTTGACAGACTAAGGTCTTCTCAGCAACACAATGACCTAAGACAATTCCAAAAGATTCATGATGGAAAATGCTATCCACATACAAAGATAGAAGTATGGAGTCTGAATGCGGATCGAAGCATAGTATTTGCTCTTTTTTCTCCTTTCTCATGGTTTTCCCCTTTTGTTCCCTTCTTTCTCAACATGACTAATATGGAAATATGTTTAATATGATTGTACACGTATAACCTATATCAAACTGCTTGCCATCTTGGAGTGATGGGAGGGGAGGGAGGGAGAAAAAATTTGGAACTCAAAATCCTATAAAGATGAACGTTGAAAACTATCTTTATATGTAATTGGAAAAAATAAAATACTATTAAGTTAGGGAAAAAAGACTATATACTGTCTCTTTCTTCTCTTTTTCTTTGTAATCCTATGTATTTTGTTTTTTAATATTCTATTTTTTCCCCAACTGCATGTAAAAACATTTAACATTCATTTTTTAAATTCTCAGTTCTAAATTCTCACCCTCTCTCCCTACTCCCCCCCTTCCCTTAGATGGTAAACAATCTGATATAGATTATACATGTGTAATCATGTAAAACATTTCCATGTTGTGGAAGAAAAGCAGAACAAAAAAAAGTGAAAAATAGTATGTTTTGGTCTATATTCAGATACCATCAGATCTTTCTCTGGAGACAGATAGCATTTTTCATTATCAGTCCTTTGTGATTGTCTTGGAACACTGTATTGCTGAGAACAGCTAATTATTTACAGTTGTTCACTGCACAGTATTGCTGTTACTGTGTATAATGTTCTCCTGGTTCTGCTCACTTTACTTTGTATCAGTTCATGTTTAGTCTTTTTTTCTGACAGCATCCTGCTCATCATTTCTTATAGCACACAATAGTATTCTATCACAATCATCTAACCACAACTTGTTCAGCCATTTCCCAATTGATGGGTATCCCCTCAATTTCCAATTCTTTGCCACCACAAAAAGAGCTGCTAATATTTTTATACAAATAGGTCCTCCCCCTCCTTTTTTTTCTTATTTCATTGGGACCCAGAACAAGTAGAGGTATTGCTGGATCAAAGAATATGCAATTTTATAGCTCTTTGGGCCATATTTCCAAATTGCTCTCCAGAATGGTTGGATCAGTTCACAAGTCCAACAATGCATTAGTGTCCCAATTTTCCCATATCCCCTCCAAAATTTATCATTTTCCTTTTCTGTCATATTAGCCAATCTGACAGGTGTGAGGTGATACCTTAGAGCTGTTTTACTTTGCATTTTCTCTAATCAACAGTGATTTAGAGTATTTTTTCATAAGACTATAGATAGCTTTGATTACTGTATCTGAAAACTGCCTATTCATATTCTTTGACCATTTATCAATTGGGGAATGCCTTGTATTCTTATAATTTTTACTCAGTTCACTATATTCTTGAGAAATGAAACTTTTATCAGAGATACTTGCTGTAAAATTTTTCCCCCAGTTTTCTGCTTTCCTTTTCATCTTGGTTGTACTACTTTTTTTTTCCTTTTGGTGTATGCAAAACCTTTTTAATTTAATATAATCAAAATGATCCATTTTATATTTTGTAATCCTCATCTTGTTTGGTCCTAAATTCTTCCCTTATCCATAGATCTGACAGGTAAACTATTCCATGCTCCGCCTTAACTTACTTATAGCATTACTTTTTATGTCTAAATCATATACCCATTTTGACCTTATATACATGTATATAGTGAGATGTTGATTTATATCTAGTTTCTACCATACTGTTTTGCAGTTTTCCCAGCAGTTTTTGTCAAATAGTGAGTTTTTGTCCCAAAAGTTCTCATTTTCTTAAAATCTTTTGCAATATAGCTTCTGACTTCATTAACTTAACTAAATCTGCTCTCTTTAAAGTTATCAGCAGTCTCTTAACTACTAAATCTGATAGTCTCTTCTCAGCCCTCATGCTTCCTATTTGTTGCATTTGACACCACTGACCATCTTTTCTTCCTAGATTCTATTCTTATAGTTTTTATGACTTCTCTCCAGTTTCTCCTCTTACCTATCTGACCATTCTTTATCCATATCATGCTCTCTGTGTCCCCCAAAACCTTTTAATGTTATATACATATATATTTTTATATATCATCTATATGCATATGACTCAATCTATGACTCACAGCTTATATTGTAAATATTTGTTCAAGTCTCTCCCCTAAGCATTAGTTCTGTACCCTCAATTACCTATTTGATATTCCAAACTGACTGTCCTAAAGATATCTCAAACTCAATATGCTCAAAACTGAATTAATATAACCTACTATTTGCCTATAATCTAAGTGTATCTGTATCTTCCTAATACAGGAATTGTTTAATTAAAAATCATTCCAAATTTAAGAAACAAAACTGGATTTAACAATAGGCAAAATCTACTGACTTTAAGTTACGATTTCTGGAACTCTAGGAAGGTCCTGCTGCTTCCCAAATATCATTCTCACCAGCATCTGGTTAATGCCTTACATCCAATCAGAGTTTTCTTTTAGCTTAAAGCTTACTAAGACCTATCAAAAAATAAATGTCTCTAGAAAGTATGACGCTATGCTATTCATCTTTTATACCTTAGAATTGGTTTCATATACTTTCCTACTGGCAGATTTTGATGGAGGAAGAAGAAAAAGAATATAAGGGTATTAGTCACTTAAGGAAAAGGACAAAGGTAGGAGAAAGAGTGAAGAATAGAGACAGTTTACAAGGCCAAAGATAATCTTCATCTATTACACAATTTTTGCCTAGGGCTAACCCTTATCACAAAGTTACTTTAAGAAGAGCATCCACTAATTACAGTATTTAGGGGAATGTACCCTCAAACTAATGGCTAAATGCTACCAACTAGTACTTTCTAACTGTTCACAAATATCATATTTATAACAACTCCTCTAACAAGAAATACAAAGTTCCATCAAGATAGCAAAGTGAATGAACTCAGATCCTCAATTTCTACTTTGCAGATGAAAACACCTTGAGATAAATAAATATAAAAATAAGTGCAGAAAAAGGTTTGAGATAAACCAAAGAAACTCAAAAGATAACAGCCCCTCATATGCCATAATAAATTACAAGTACATACTTGACTTAAAAAATAAAAGGTCAGATCATTTTATAAATAGGCTATGAGAATTTTTAACCAAAGGGCAGAGTAAATAAAATATAAAACAGATCATTGAGATTACACGAAATTGAAAAGCTTTTTCACGAAGAAAATCAATAGTGCCTAGGATAAAAAGGGAACTGAAAAAAATTTTTTTGCATTAAATATCTCTGATATGGGATATCAATCCAAGATATTTAAAGAATTTAACACAAATACGTAAGACCAATAGCCATTTCCCCAGTGAGTAAGTGGTCAAAGAATTTTCTTGAAGAATTTTAAAAAGAAATGTAAGCTATTAATAATCACAGGAAAGACTGTTCCATTAAATTTTTTTTGTTCCATTAATTGTGAAAAGATGAAGCAAGGCAAATAAAATCTTTATGTCTGTTACCACTGAACTGACTTTATTTATGGAGGAGAAAATGCAGCAACAATGACTAACAAGTTGAATCACAGAGAAACTTGAAATTTTTCTTTTAACTCAGTGTCTAGGTGACTCTCGTCCTGAGGATGGCTGAGGCAACCTAAATTTCAAAAGATCCAGGTTAAAATCTAAGAAGGTGTAAGTGTTGTAGTTATGATGTTGAAGGTTCTTGTAGGTAGAATTATCAAATGCCTCAGCACTTTCGGTCTCTGTGGAAGAAAAATAAAGCTAGTAAGTCTAAGACTAGAAGAATCAATTACTTTTTATATAAGTCAATTAACAAGTATTAAGGCACTTAGATGTTTAAAACATTCTCCACACACCTAATCTAGTACAACGTAATTTAAAATCACTAAATTGTTTTTGAAAAAAGAATGCTTATTTAGTTAAAAAAAAAGCAACAGTTGTTCAAAGCAAAATGAAATTAATCTTACATTTAAAAAAATAAGTATTTCAAAGATCAAATTAGTATCTATGACTGGATTATATCATTAAAAGTTGCCTTGTTAATAACCTCATATTTCTAGTAACATGGCTGCATGATTCATAATACTAACCAAGAAAATGCATAGATGCACTTTTAGCAAGCTTGAAAATGCAGATAAAGCAATAGTGGAATATTTTTTAAGAAGTCAACAAAAGCTGAACTAGTTTCCCCTAGTCTCAATGAGTACAGCATTTAGACAAATTTCATCAGTAAACTGTTTTAAAAATATTTTCTTGTTACAACTACAATGAACAGAGAAGATAATTTAATACTTTTTTTTTTAATCACTAGTCTTATCATTAAAGCCACTGGATTTGCCTGTGTCCTTTGCTTTTTCAAATTTTGTTTTTCAGTGCTATAGAATATAACTTTACTTCCTCATTCAAAAAAATATGGATGTACCCTGTGAAATATATGAATAACAATTTGACAAAAACATTTAAAATAATATTCGCTCCCTCAGGAAAGGTTCATCTATGAAGCTGAAACTTTCTACATGTGTTGTCTTCTTTAATAGAACATGAACTTATTGAGAACAAAGACTGTCTTACAAAACTATTTATGTCTCTAGTGCACAGCATAGTGCATTACACATAGTAATCACTTAATAAATGTTTTTTTCATTCCTTCATTCAACTAAAAATTTAAACAGTTTGTTGCTAGTTGTAAATCCACTGAAAACAGAGAAATAACATCCTTTCTAGAAATTGAGCATGCCACATAAAATGAGTATAAAGTTATGTGAAATGATACATTATCTTTTTTGTTTAAAGTACATCTTTTAATAATTCCAGGTTTCTGAAATTAATGAGTTCATCAAAAATTTCTCTTCAATTTCTATTTCTTGAAGCCACGAAACTTAGCTTTGTAGAAATAATTCCTGACTTTTTATAGCACTTTAAGATTTACAAAGTGCCTTGCATATGGTCTCACATTTGATCCTCTACAAAAAAACAACATAGTACAGGTATTATCATTTCCATTTTTGAGAAGAGGAAACAGAAGCTCAGAGAGATTAAGAGAATTGCATAGAAAAGCGGTGTTAAACAGAACCTATGCCTGTGGGCCCACAAATTGACTTAGAAAACCATAAATTAACATTATTTATGTTGTATTATATTTTTTATTTATTTTATTAAATATCTCCAATTACATTTTAATCTGGTTCTACTCTGGGGGGCTAGGAGAGGGAATTTTGTGGCCCTAGTGACCCCTAGCACTTTGGTTAGATACCTCTGGCACAGAGTCACACAGAATATTATTTCAATTCAGATTCCTACCAACTTTCACTCCAGTGTTCCGCCACCCCCACCCCCCCGCTTGTATTACACCATATTGCCTCAACCAGTCTTTGGTCTTTTGCTTTCTAGGTCTAAGTTAAATTTAAACACGACAAAGTATTGTTTTGTTTAAAAGGCATTTAACACTAAATGTACCCAGTGTCTTCACTGTTGCATAGTTAAATCCTCAAACAATACTTGAATATAGCTGTGTCATTTTGAAAGAGATTCACAATTATAGAAAAACCTTATTAGTATAAAAAGTCAATGTTACACATTTTCCCCTTTTAAATTTTCACATCTTCTTTAGAATTAACAGAGGGGGAGGAAAAAATTATTATAAGGAAAACATACCCTCAAAAATTTTCTGTATGTAAATAGCCTCCTCTTCCAATAAAATTTCTGCTAACTGAAAAAACACATTGAACTCACACAATATAATTCATTGTAATTCCAAAGTTTCTAGTATTCCTGTCCAATTCAGAGGGTGATTTAAAATGGAAGTATCTGAAAATATTCTTTTTGTAAGTCTGAGCAAATTCTATAAGCTAATAGCACTATTTAGAAAAAATTTTTAAAAAACTGTAACAGTACAGAAAATTTGTAAATTTGGTAAACATGTTACAGTCTACAAAGAAAATATACTAGATAGCACATAAATTAGTGGGCTTTTAACTAAGCTGTATACAAAGAAAGCAAATAATCTTATTAGTAAATATTATATTTTAGAGTCGTATAAAAGGGTAGTACTTAGAGCTATCTATACAGAATGAGAGAAATATATTAATAAAGCAGTATGCCCTACAATCCAAGCAATTACTCTATTAAACACCTCACTCTGAAATTCTTTCTTAAAGTAGCACACACACCTAAAAGTTATAGGAAGCACTCCAGTTTAATGCTTAAAGGAAAAAAAAATTAAGCAAGAGCAAGCAAGCTGTTACATTTGACTCTATTATAAAATATTTTATCCAAAATTCTTTTATAAAAATAAATCTGAGAAACAAAAAAAATCAATTCTCCAATAGTATTTCCATGGTAAATCAGAGAAAGTAATACAGTGTAGAGCACATTAACACTCCATAGCCTGTAATCCCAACAAAGGACAAGTCTTGTAACCTTTTAGAATTGAGATTCCTCTTTTTTTTTTTTTTCCTTCTCAGAGGTGTTGTAAGATTAAGATAGATGGCATTTATATAGCATTTTAAGGTTTACAAAGTGTTTTACAAACATTATCTCATTTGATCCTCACAAAAAACCTATAAGGTAGGTGCTTTTATTATCCTCCTACAAGTCAGGAAAAAAAGGCAGACAGAGGTTAAGTTACTTGCCCAGAATCACACATCTAATCTTCAGGTCTTCCTGACTTCAGGTCCAGCACTTTATCTGCTGCTCTATTAGCTACCTTAGACACTTAGGTGAAAATATACTTTGAACTAGTAAGTATACAAAACAATTAATAAAACCAAAGACCATATAGTCTTTAAATGAGAATGCTTAAACTAGATGATCACTCAGTCACATGACATGACATGAAAACACATGACTATGTCCTACACACAAAAATTAAGTCAGGGAAGAAAGCTATATCAATATAAAAAAATTATAATTGCTATACAATCCAAACTACATGTCACCTTTTCTCTCCAAATGGAAACATACATTAAAAATACTATGGAGCTGTCCAAAGTATAAGATTTATGGCAAAGACATTATTAAATCTCCTAACTAGAGACATTCTAAGAAGCCATACTTTGGTAAGAGAATGCAATTAAACAAAGTATAACATAATTATTTAAAAAAATTCTTTTGATCATGAAATCTCCTCAATGACCTAATAATACTTTGAATCACAAATTAAAGTTGTACCCGATATGATGCCTTGATTTTTCAACTTCATTGCCAACCCTTGAAAGGCTTCTTCCTTTTCACCAGTGGTTCCTGCCGGCACACCTTCCTCTAAAATGTTTTCTTTGGTCTGAGGAGGAGGTGCTTCCAAATTTGGAATAGGTACCTGTTCTTCCAAAATGTCTTTGTCCTCAAAATGATCTGCTGTAAAATCAACAGCTGTTGGTTTCTCTTCTCTGTTTTCTTCCTTCTCTTTCAACAGTTTTATTCCTATGTCTAACTGGGTTGATGGTCCTCCTTCCATTTGGTCAGATAACTTCCTATGAATATCAACTAGCTTTTGGCTTTCTTTAGTCATTTCATTCAACTTAAATACAGTATTTTGCATTTGTGCTTCTTTTGTACTTTGCTCACTAAAAGATTCCATTACTTCCGATTTGGGTATTTTAGGCTCTTTATAGGCTTCTGATTGCTCAACAGTCAATTTCATCTCTGATTGATGAGGTTTCTCCACATGTGTAGAGTCCATGTGTGCTTTCTGGAACTGAGTCTTCTCGGTTAATTTCAAAGTTCTTTGGGTCTTAGTCTCAAAAGCTTTCCCTTGTGGAAACTCTCCTTTGGTTATGCCAGCAATCTGAGGTTTCAAGACAATTTCTGAGTGACTATCTTCTCTATCAGAATCTGAGTCAGATGAAGAGGATGATGAATCATCAACAGCTGGTTTCTGGATCTGTTGGTGGGTTACTAAAGAAGTATCCTTTGCTCTAAGTGAAGAAGGTGAAACTCGTTGAGGAAACTCTACTACAGTCTTTCTTGGCAAAAGTTTCCCGATTTCTTCATCTGTCTGTTGTTTGATGTCATCAGAGTTAATATTAACTATGGTCTTGTCTTTATTAGTAGCTGATGGATAAGAATTAGGTGATGATAAATTTTTGGGAAATTCAGCTCTTTGGGATGGTAATGGCTTGACCCCTTCCTTTGGTGCCACTACATCTAGGAAATGGCATAAAAAGGAATATTAATCTTCTCTCCAATATAATTTTCTTACATGAATACGGTTTTAAAATTTGTAAAATATAAACTAAACCATAGTCCAATGGGCTCAGATGCATATAACCCATGAAAGTCAGTTTAAAACCATCAACTCAAACTAATATTTATACTTCGTGGAGGTCAGGACACATGTATAGCATAATCAGAAAGTTTAAAATATATACTTTTCAACCTAATGTTTATATTACATGTCATCACATTCAATGGGTATATTTAAAGGACTGCCCCCATAATACAAAAACAAAGGAAAGCTGTTCAACATAAATAAAAAAGAATAGCAAAAAACACAATCTATGAATATATATTAACAGTAACAGATTTTATTGAAATATTTTTCTTCAGCAGTAGAAAGAAAAAAGGCTTAGTAATTAGTATATTTACCAACAGGAATAATGAACAGTCACTAATGAGTTAATTAATTAGTGCCTACTCAACTGCCCAGACACTTTTCCCTGTTAGAGTAAAATATCAGTAAATAGCTTAAGATACAAAACACAATGAAGAAACATTATTGGGTCAGAGAACAATTTTACAAAAAGGAACTCAGAAAAGTGTAATCCTACAACAAAAGGTAAGCAAAGCCTCAGGAAAAAATGGCCTGCACACAAAGATTTCTTTGAGTTGTCAAAAAATTGAAGCATGAGTTAAAGAAATGAAATCAGAAGTATAAAAAGAACCCAGGGGATAAAAAGTGAAAGGAAAAAATATCCGACAACAGAAAATAGCAAATCTTAGCCAAGAAATTGACTCTGAAAAATGAAATGAAGCTAACAGAACTCAATGGATCAATGAAAATAAAAACAGAATAAGGTCAAATGACTGGAAAAATTAAAGAAAATCTAAGATGTCATTCACACACACACACATACACTAAAGACCTGGAAAACAAGTCAAGGAGAGAATTAAAGAATCATCAAACTCACTGAGAACCATGACCATGATTGATACCATATTTCAAGAAATTATGAATGAAAACTGTCCATATCTATTAGAAGCAGAAAGCAAAAGTGAAAAAAAAAAGAAAAATGTTAAGAATTAATAAGTCACCTCCCAAAAAAAAACCAAAACTATTTTGGCTAGGAATGTCATAGCCAAAATCAAGAACTTCCAAGTCAAAGGAAAAAAAAATACCACCAGCAGACAGAGACAAATTTCAAGTACCAAGAAACCTGGGTACCAAAAAGGAAAGAAAACATATTCCAAAAGGAAAAAAAAAAGCTTACAACTACGAACAACTCAACCTGAAAAATTAAGTATAATCCTAACGTATGTATGTAATATATACATACATATATTTTATTTTGTAAAATATTTTCCATACATATAAACAAATTTTTAACACTGATTTTTAAAAACTTTGAGAATGAAATGCTCTCCCTCCTTCCTCACACCTTGAGGAGGCAAGGCACACAATATATCAATTACACATGTGAAATCATACACTTCCATATTAGCCAAGTTGCAAAAGAAAACACATACAACACAAACAAGAAAACAAAGTAAAAAAAGTATGCTTTATTGTGGACTTAGAGTCTATCAGTTTTGTTTCTGAAGATGGATAGCATTTTTCTTCATGGATCCTTTGGAATTGTCTTGGATCATTGTCTTGATCAGAGTAGCTACTCTGATCACAGTCGATTATCCTTACAATACTGCTGTTACTGTTTACAATGATTTCTTGGTTCTGCTTACTTCACTCTGCATCAGTTCATATAAGTTATCCCAGGTTTTTCTGAAACCATCCTGCCTGTCATTTCTTATAGCACAACAGTATTTCATTGCAATTATATACTATAACTTGTTCAGCCATTATCCAAATTGATGGACATCCCCTCAATTTCCAATTCTCTGCCACCACAAAAAGAGCTGCTACAAATATTTTTGTACACATAGATCCTTTCTCCTTTTCTTTGATCTCTTCGGGATATGGACTTGCTAGCTTGCTAGTGATATTGTTGGGTCAAAAGGTATGCAAAGTTTTATAGTCTTTTGGGTGTAGTTCCAAATTATTCTCCAAAATGGTTGGACTAGTCCACCACTCAAACTGCGCATTAGTGTCCAAATTTTTCCACATCCCCTCCAGCATTTGTCATTTTCCCTTTCTGTCATGTTGTCCAATCTGATAGGTTTGCATTTCTCTAATCAGGGCAGCGAGGACAGCTAGGTGGTGCAGTGGATAGAATGCAGTGCCTAGAGTCAAGAAGACCTGAGTTCAATCCAGTCTCAGACACCAATTGTGTGAACCTAAGTAAGTCACTTAATTCTGTTTGCCTCACTTTCCTCATCTGTACAACGAGCTGAAGAAGGAATTGGCAAACCACTCCAGTATCTGTGCCAAGAAAACCCTGAATGGTGTCATGAAGAGTCAGATGTGACTAAAATAACCAGTAGTGATTTAGTGATTTTCATGTGACTATGAATAGCTTTGATTTCTTCTTCTGAAAACTGCCTGGTCATATCCTTTGACCATTATCAAATAGGAAATGGTTCTTACGAAGTTTGTAGCAAAACTTGCTGCAAACTCCCCCACTCCGCGCCCTGGTGTGCTATTTTTCTTATAATTCTGCCTGCATAAGTTTTGTTTATGTAAAATGTTTTTAATATCATGGAATCAAAATGAACTATTTTACTTCCTATAATCTCTTCTATCTTGTTTGGTTATAAATTCTTCCCTGGCTTATAGATCTCACAGGTACATTTTGCCTTGCTCCCCTAATTTACTTATTGATATCACCTTTTTAAATTTTTTTTGCCAGACAATGGGGTTAAGTGACTTGCCCAGGGTCACACAGGTAGTAAGTGTCAAGTGTCTGAGGCTGGATTTGAACTCAGGTCCTCCTGACTCCTGGGCCAGTGCTCTATCTATTGTGCCACCTAGCTATCCCTTGACATCATCTTTTATGTTTAATTCCTGTATCCAATTTGACCTCATCTTGGCATGTTGTGTGAGTTACTCATCTATGCCTATTTTCTTCCCATTTTCTTTCCAGTTTCCCCAGCAATTTTTGTCAAAAGGTAAGTTCTTGCCTCTAAAACTTGGAGTTTTGGGTTTATCAAATATTAGATTATTACAGTCATTTACTACTATGTATTGTGTACCTAATCTATTCCACTGATCCACTACTCAAATTTTTAGCCAGCACCAGATTGTTTTACTGATTACTGCTTTGTAATATAGTCTGAAATCAGGTACTCCAGGCTTCCTTCACATTTTTTTTTCACTGATTCCACTGATACTCTTGACCTTTTGTTCTTCCAGATGAATTTTTTGATTATTTTTCTAGCTCTATAAAATACTATTTTGGTAGTTTGATTGGCAAGGCACTGAATAAGTAAATTTAGGTAGAATTGTTATTTTTTAATCACATTAGCTTGGCTTACCCATGAGCAATTGATATTTCTCTGATTGTTTAGATGTCTTTATTTGTGTGAAGTGTTTTGTAATTGTGTTCGTATGGTCCCTGGGCTTGTCATGGCAGATAGATGTCTTAAGCGTTTTATATTGTCTACAGTTGTTTTAAATGGAATTTCTCTATCTCTTCCTACTCGGTTTTCTTGATAGTACATACAAATGTTGATGATTTCTTCTTGTTCCTGTTATTGTTCAGTCATGTCCAACTCTTCCTGACCCCATTTGGGGTTTTCTTGGCAAAGATATTGAAGCAGTTTGCCATTTCCTCCTCCAGGTCTTTGAACAGATGTGGAAAGTGAGGCAAATAGGGTTAAATGACTTCCTCAGGGTCAGACAGCTAGTAAGTGTCTGAGATTAGATCTGAACTCAGAAGATGAGTCTTCTTGACTCCAAGACCAGCACTCTATCCACTGTACCATTGCTGATGATTTATGTGACTTTATTTTAAATCCTGTAACTCTGCTAAAGTTGTTGTTGTTGTTTTACTTTTATTTATGTATTTATTTTTTAATTATTTATCTTTAATTTTCAACATCTGCTTCCATAAGCTCTTGAGTTTTAAATCTTCTCCCCCTCCTTCCTCATCTCCTTCCCCAAGACGGTGTGCAATCTGATATAAGCTCTACATATACATTCCTATTAAACATATTTTCACATTAGTCATGTAAAGAAGAATTAGAACAGGAGGATTCACAAGAAAGAAACAAAACAAAACAGAATTAAAAAAAAAAAGGGCAAATAGTATGCTTTGATCTGCATCATTTTTTCTTCATAGTTCTTTCTCTGGACGTGAATAGCACTTTCCATCATGAGACTTTTGGAGTTGTCTTAGATCCTTGCATTGCTGAGAAGAACTAAGTCTATCATCATAGTTAGTCATCACACAACGTGGCTGTTGCTGTGTACGATGTTCTTCTGGTTCTGCTCACTTCACTCAGCATCAGTCCATACTAGTCTTTCCAGGTTTTTCTGAGGTTCATTTGTTCATTATTTCTTATAGCACAACAGTACACCATTACATTAATACACCACAACTTGTTCAGCCATTCCTCAACTAATGGGCATCCCCTCAATTTCCAATTCTTGGCCAGCACAAAAACAGGCTGGTATATGTGAGATTTCCCCTTCCCCCATCTTCCCCTCCAATGTAAAAGCTATTTTGTGCCTCTTTTATGTGAGATAATTTAACCCATTCTACCTCTTCTTCCCTCCCTCCCAGCGCATTCCTCTTTCTCACCCCTTAATTTAATTTTTTTTACATATCATCTCATCACATTCAACTCATACACTTGTCCTCTAAGTGTACTCCTTCTAGCTGCCATAATGATGAGAAAGTTCTTAGGAGTTACAAGTATCATCTTCCCATGTAGAAATGGAAACAGTTTAACCTTATTGAATCCCTTATGATTGCTCTTTCCTGATTATCTTTTTATGCTTCTCTTGAGCCTTGTGTTTAAATGTCAAATTTTCTATTCAGCTCTGGGCTTTTCATCAGGAATGCTTTGAAAGTCCTCTATTTTACTGAATATCCATTCCTCCCCCTCCCCTCAGAAGGATTACTCTCAGTTTTGCTGAGTAGGTGCTTCAGGTTGTAATCCTACCTCTTTTTCCCTCCAGAATATCATATTCCAAGACTTCTGATCCTTCAATGTAAAAGTTGCTGAAGCTTGCATTGTCCTGACTATGGCTACATGATATCTGAAATGTTTCTTTCTGGCTGCTTGCACTATTGTCTCCTTGACGTGGGAGCTCTGGAATTTGACTATAATATTTCTGGGAGTTTTCATTTTGGGATCTCTTTCAATTTCTATTTTACCCTCTGGTTCTAGAATATCAGAGCAGTTTTCCTTGATAATTTCTTGAAAGATGATGTCTAGGCTCTTTTTTTGATCATGGCTTTCAGGTAGTTCAATAATTTTTAAATGATCTCTCCTGGATCTATTTTCCAGGTCAGTTGTTTTTCCAATAAGATATTTCATATTTTCTTCTATTTTTTTTCAAATTTTTTTTTTTATCGTTTTTTGGTGTCACACAGAGTCATTAGCTTCCACTGGCCCAATTCTAATTTTTAAGAGATTATTTTCTTCATTGAACTTTTATACTTCCTTTTCCCTCTGGCCAATTCTGCCTTCTAAATAGGTTTTGTTTTTTTTTTTCCTTAGTGAATTTTTGTACCTCTTTTTCCATTTGGCCAATTCTTTATAAGGATTTCTTCTCTCCAGTGAATTTTTGTGCTTTCTTACCATTTGACCTATTCTGTTTTTTTAAGGTTTTCTTCAATTATTTTCTTCAATATGTTTTTGTGCTTCCTTTACCAAACTGTTGATTTTTCTTTCAAAAAATGATTTTCTTGCTTCATTCATTCAAAAATTTCCAAAATTTTCCTCTACCTTTTATTTGATTCTTAAAATCCTTTCTTTGAGCTCTTCTAGGAATATTCTGGGCCTGAGACCAACTCACATTTTTCTTTGAGGCTTTGGATATAGAATTTTTGACTTTTCTTCTGAGTTTGTCTATCTTCCCTGGCACCACAGTAACTTTCTGTGGTCAGTTTTTTTTTTTTTGCTCATTTTCCCAGTCTATTTCTTGACTAAAGTGGGGTTCTGCTCCCAAGATGGAGAGAGAACTGTCCCAAATTTCATACCTTTTTTGCAGCTACTCTCAAAGATAGTTCCGAAGGTCTGTAAATTTTTAGGTCTTCCAAGGTAGTGTTATCTAAGAAGAGATGTGGTTACTGCTCTCCTGGCCTGTGCTCTGGTCTATGAGTGACCACAAGCATTCTTTTCTACTCTGGAACTATGATCAGGGTCCCTACTCCCCTGCTGCTGAAGCTCTAGTGTGCTAGTGCTCCTTTTGTCCAGGGACTTCGACCAAAGCCTGCTACCTGGTTCTGAGTAGGGAAAATGCAACAGTCCTGCACCCAGTAGAAGCAAAGAGACTGCTGATCTCCTTCTGACCTATTGTCCAACCCCTTCGCTATATGTGAGCTGAGAGCTCTGGAAACCACTGTTCCCACTGCTGTTTCAATTGCCCCAATGATTGCCGCTGGTTTACGGAGGTACAGCCTGCACTGAACCATACTGCTCTGGAATGTGCTCTACTTTTATCCTGGTGTAATAGACCTTTACTGCTAACTTTTGTCTTGGCCTGGAAAATCGTTTCACCTCTTGGGTTCTGCTACTTCAGAATTCATTTTGAGGTATTATTTTTAAAGTTTTTGGAGGGGAATTTGGGAGAGCTCTGCCTTTCCTCCACCTTCTTGGCCACTGGTGCAAAAATTTTAAACATCAGCAAGGAGACTATAGCAACATATCACAAAGATTATACATTATGGATTTATACCAGGAATGCAGGACTACTCCAATGTTAGAAAAACTATAAAAATAAATGGTCAAATAAAAAGAAAACAACAAAAACCAAATGATTATATGAATAGATGCAGAAAAAACTTTTGATTATATACAATACCCATTAGTGTTTAAAAGACTAGAAAGCACAGAAGCTTTCCTTAATATGATAAGTATTATCTACCTAATTCCAAGTGCTAGAATTTTCCGCAATGGGGATAATAAGCCAGAGGACTTTCCAATCAGATCATGGGTAAAGCAAGGAAGTCCATTATTAACATTGCTATTCAATATAGTCCTAGAAATGCTAGTTATCACAATAAGATTAAGAAAAAAACAAATTTAGGGAATAAGCATAAGGAAGGAGGTAACAGAATGATTAGTTTTTGCAGATGACAAAATGGTTTATGTAGAGAATGCTAGAGTCAACTAAAACATGCATCAAAACAAATAACTTCAGCAAAGTTACAGGATATAAAATAAACCCACACAAATCATCAGAACTGCTATATATTACCAACAAAATCCAGCAGGCAGAAATAGAAATTACATTAAAAATAACTACAGACAATAAAAAATACTTAGAAGTCTATCTGCCCAAAAACACACAGAATGTTTATGAACACAATTATAAAACACTACTTCCCTGAAAAAAGACACCTAAATAGCTGAAGTAATATTAATTCCCTCATTGACAGGCCAAACCAATAGAACAAAATGATAACACTATCTAAATTAATTTACTTATTCAGTCATACCAATCAAACTACCAAAGGAATATTTTATAGAACTAGAAAAAAGAATAACTAACTTCAGCGGGAAGAAGAAAATGTCAAGAATGTAAAGGAAATTAATAATTAAAAAATATTAAGAAGGGGGCCTAGCAGTACCAGATCTCAAAGTATGCTAAAAAACTCTAATGATCAAAACAATTCAGTACTGGGTAAGAAATAGAGAGGCTGATCAACGGAACAGATTAAGTATATAGATGAAGAAGCAAATGAACACAGTAACCTAGTGTTTGATAAGCTCAAAGATCTCAGCTACTGGGACAAAAAACTCAAAATTCAAGAAAAACTACTGGGAAAACTGGAGAGTATCTGGAAGAACTGAGGTATAGAACAATATCTCATACCCTATATAGAGATAAGCTCCAAATGAGTAAATGATTTAGACATAAAGGGTGACATGAAAAATTAGAATATGGAAGAAATTAACTGTCAGATCTATGGAAAGGAGAAGAAGAGCTCATGACTAAATGAGATAGAGTGTGACAGGGAGTAAAATGTACTATTTCGGTAAAATTTAAAAGTTTTTGCAGAAACAAAACCACTATAGTTAAAATTTTAAAAGCTGAAAACTGGGAAAAACTCTTTGTAGTTTCTTTGATAAAGGTCTCATTTCTCAAATATATAAAGAGTTCATTCAAATTTATAAGAATAAGAACCATTCCCCAAATGATAATGGTCAAAGGATACGAATAGGCAGTTTTCGGGGGAAGAAATCCAAGTTATCAATAGACATGCTATTGAAAAAATGCTAATAATTAGAAAAATGAAAATTAAAACAACCTTAAAGCTTAATCTCATACCCATCATTTAAATTAATTTAATTTTTTAATTATTTAATGGTAAATGCTAGATGATTTTCAATAAAACACTTGACATAAAAAAAGGGGGAGGAGTTCAATGGATTCTGCCCAATGTCCTCATGCTTTGGTTGATGATGTTCCATTCATAAAGTCATTGAGAAAAAGAGGAGAAGAATGCACTGAACATTACATGGAAAGGTAAACTGCAATTACAGTTGAAGGAACCAAGGAGGAGACTCACCAAATAAATACAAAAATATAATGATATATTGAATATCATAAATATAATGAAATATAAATATAAAAAAAATGAGACTCACCAAAAAAATGACTCACCAGTATATCTTATCCTCACACTACAAAAACACCCACAGAATAGTATATATGTTAATGAGAAGTGACTAATAATGGAAAAAAATGACACACGAGTTTTGAAGGACACAAACATTTCAAGATTAGAAGAAAAAAAGCAGGGTAACCAGAGACCTAGTTCATAGTAATATGGGATTCCATTATTAATGATGGCATACATACTATATTCTAATATAATAATATTACACCTAGAATACACAGAAATTATTCAGAACAGTGTTAAAAGCTGAATGGCAGGTGAATATATTGCTGACTTGTATGGTCCTAAATTTCATTTACAAATTTTATGTCTGACTTTTTTTTAACCTGGGCAATATAAGAAAATGAAGATTCATAATGTAATGCTATTTTTAAAATGACTATTTTATACATGGCATGATTTATTTACTTAGTAGAATCTTGCTTTTATTACCATAAAAATCTTACTTTTTGGTGGCTCTTGCACTTTAGACTTCTTTTGTTTTTCCTTTTCATTGCCTCCTGATTTTGTAGAGAGAAAAGCTGTTGAAGCAAATTCTCGAAGCCCCCATGCTTTTAGTTGTATGGTCTGAAAAAAAAATGTAATTGTAGGTATTTCTTAATACAATTTCAGTCAATTAATTTCATTTATTCTGGCTATTATTGTTTTGTACTCACTGAGTATAAGGAGGAATTTTTAAACCCATCTTTTTACTGACAAAAATCTAAGGTGCATCTGCAAAACATTATCACTTTGTTCTGCTTTTAACTTAAGTGAATTAGAAAATCAAAAGTAAAGTGGCTTTACATACATAGAGAAAAGATGAATGGTTCAAAAGAAGCTCCTAGTGCTTGTTCCATAAAAATTTATAAGCTTTAAACCAAATTATTTTGTGATTTGACAATCTATCTTAGATTCTATCCCTTGCCCTCTCCTTTCCCTTATTAACAAACCATTTGATGTCTTTATTTAGGAACCCAGATTTTACTGACACAATATTCACATTTTATAGCAGGCTCTTTTGGGCAAACACAATCTTCTTTCTCACTGGCTTGTGCAAAACACGGTGTGTTGTTGCCAAAGACTGACTGGTATTACCTTGGGTAAACTGATTTAACCGAGCCTGACTTCAGTTTCTTCCCTTGCTAAATGGGAGATAAAATGTATTTTAATCACATAAATCACAAGCTAACTGGACTGACAAAGATGATGTCTGTAAATTACACAAAGCTCTTGTGATCAGAGAAGATGTAAAATACGACGAGAAATTTTTGTTCTTGCCCTGGGTAAGTGGAATTCGTTCTCCTTTTAATGGACCAAAATACGAAGTCAATGTCAAATTAGCGTTCAGAGTCCAGCAAGCCAAGACTCATGTGACATCTCTTCTGGCAGAGGGCGACCTTCACTCACCCGCCGCACATGCGCACAAGAACTAACCCGCCTCCCTCTCTCCCCCCCCCCCCCCCCCCCCAGTCCCGACGCACCCAGTCGGAGAACACCCGGCCCAGCCTAGCCCAGAGATCAACTGCGGGGCTCCCCCTTCGGAGCCTTTAAGGGATACTTCTACCTACACAAGCCCCTCCCGACCTCACCTTCAATACCGCCCCTCGGCCCAGTCCTAGGACAGAGGAAAAGGCCATGGCAGTAGAGTAGGGGGCACCCTAGGCGAAGTTAACGCGTCCAGAGGACGTCCACTAGCTTCCCCAGAGCTCCAGCTCCAGCTCGATTCCCTTCGCCTAGGTGCGAGCACGACTGGCCAATCCCAAGCCGGGGGCGGGGCCAGAGCTTGCCTTCCGGCGCGGGGGTTGGGGAGCGGATGGAAGAGGGGCGGGTCACAGCTCAGGGCCCATGTGACACGCAGCCCCCCCACTCCGCGCGCTCGACTGACCCCGCCCCCAGTGAAGGGCGAGCTGGTCGCCCTGACAGCCGTGGAAGCTTGACCCAGGTTCGGTTTGTCGCGAAGACACGAGTGGGACGTAGACTGTCTTTGAAATCAATCAGTCTCTGGTTTTAAAAAGCAAACAAAAAAACAAAAACAAAAACAAAAAGTCATAGTTAAGAAATACCCTTAGTAGAGGCAGCTTGGTGGCGCAGGGGGACAGAGCACTGGCCCTGGATTCAGGAGGAGCCGAGTTCAAATGCGGCCTACATAACAATTACTAGCTGTGTGACCCTGGGCAAGTCACTTAACCCCATTACCTAGCCAAAAAAAAAATTACCCTTAGCACCTTATGCGGTGGTTGTTGGGAGTCAGTTCTAGTGGAATATGTGTAATGTCTTTTTCAGAACCTTAAAGCACTACATAAACCTCACTTCTGATTTCTGTGGGTCTTTTTCTCCCCATCCCCCACCCAGTTCCCCAAGACCAAAAGAACTAGAGAACTCCACTTATCCAGTAAACTTTTCTTTTAGGCAATTGGGGTTAAATGACTTGCCCACGATCACACAGCTAGTAAGTGTCAAGTATTTTGTCTGAGGTGGGATTTGAACTCAGGTCCTCCAGACTTCAGGGCCAGTGCTCTATCCACTGCTCCGCCTAGCTACCCCTAGTAAACGTTTTTTTCCTTAAATTGTCCAAATGTATCAGGCAGAATTTCCCCTTAACCCCTCCTCCTCCAGCAGAGTGCTCTGCATTCACTATGGCCATTTGAAGGATGGCTCCTTGATTTCATCTGGTGTGAATACTGCCTCTACTGATGGAGAACTCCATTTTTGTTCACTTCTTTTCTATGTCATTCTACAAATTGGTAGAACACACACCTCAGAGTTTTTATGGACTTCCTCTGATACTTTTAATATTTTATGGACACCAACTAACACTAACTACAAGTTGCAAGTTTTTATATTTTACATTTTTAATTATTTAAATTTTAAATTTTATTGATAACTTTAAAAAATTTATATCACCATCAATTAATTGCAAATATATCTCTCTCTGCCCATACCTCCACCTAGTAATCCTTCCCTTTAAAAGAACAATAATAACAAAAAAGCAAAACTAACCAACACAGTGAACGCATCTGACCAAAAAATTTAAAAGCCTGGGCTTGCCTGGTCTCCAAACAAAGGAGACATTTCCTCATCTCTTCCTCAGGGATGATTGACCCTTATAATGACACAGAATTCAACCTTGTTTTAGTGGGTTTTTTTCTTATATTATAGTAGTCATTGTGGATTTCCCCTCTCCACCTCAGTTTTGCTGCTTCACTGCATGAGTTCACACAAGTTCATACAAATCTATGGGTCTCTAAATTTCTCATTTTTTTTGTTTCTTACACAATAATAATATGCCTTTACATTCATGTGCTACAGTTTGTTTAAGCATTCCTCAATCACCGTGTACCACTTTGTTTCCAGTATCACACAAAGTGCTGCTATGAGCATTTTGGTGTATACATATATGTATGTGGATGGAATTTTGGTCTTTGAATTCCTTGGATTACAGGCCCAGCAGCATGATATTGATAAAAAGGTATGAATACTTTAGTCATTTTTTCCTCATAACTCCACATTGTTTTCTATAAATGTGCCTACCCTCCTGTAGCCCCTTCCAATAAGGGCTATTTCCATCTTTCATCATCATTGCCATTTTTCTGGGTGTGATAGATATCTTTACAGTTGTTTTAATTTGCATTATTAGTGCTTTGGACCAATCTTTCATATAATTGATGATAGTTCACAATTCTTTTGAAAACCATTCTGATACTTTGACTACTTTTCTATTGGGCAATGGCCTTTAGTCTTCTATATTTGTGTTAGTTCCCTCTATCTTGGTTATCAGGCTCTTATCAGAGGTGTTTGACAAAATTCCACCACCTCCCCAACTGATAGTCTTTTTTCTTATCCTATTTTCATTGATATTACTTATGCACAAACTTTTCAAATTTTAGGACAGGAATTGGACCTGTGATTTCATTTGTATAGAGAATCCCAGAAGAGGAAACTCCCTGGGTAGGGCCTTAAGTCAGGAAGACTCATCTTCCTGAGTTCAAATCTCGCCTCAGACATCTACTCGCTGTGTGACCCTGGGCAAGTTGCTTAACCTGTTTGCCTTAGTTCCTCAACTGTAAAATGAGCTGGAGAGGAAATGGCAAACCACTCCAGTATATTTTCTAAGAAAAATCCAAATAGGGTCACAGGAGACTGAAAACTATTGTACAATGATGTTTACTTTCTTTGCAATTCAGTCTTAGAGAGTTGCCTTGGAGCACTGAGAAAAGTGACTTCAGGGTCACACAAGGCAAGCCAACTTGAACTCAGGTGTTTCTGACTTCAAGGCCAAATCTCTGTTATTTTATGCTGCCTGTTTTTAATTTCATGCAGTTGAAACTGTGTATTTCTGTTTTATAATCTTCTTTATTTGTTTTCTCTGTCATAGTTATAGTTGAGAAAGATACATACTTCTATGCTCCTGTATCTTTTTTGTGAGAGGACTTTTTATGAGAGGCAACATGTAAAGCACCGGCCCTGAAGTCAGGAGGACCTGAGTTCAAATCCGGTCTCAGACAAACACTTCACAATTACTAGCTGTGTGACCCTGGGCAAATCACTTAACCCCAATTGCCTTAAAAAGAAAAAAAAAAAAGAGAGGCAACATAGAGTAATGGAAAGAGAGTTCTGGTTTTAATGTTACAGCTCTAACACATATTGTCTGTGTAACCCTGGGCAAGTTAACCTCTCAATGCTTTAGACAGCTTTCTAAGATCCTAAGTTTCAAAGGAGATGCCAATCTAATTGGTAGAGCTCTGGAGTTTCCTTTCCCAGGAGTTTCCTATACCAGTGAAATCACAGGTCTAGTCCCTATCCTTTTCTCTATAGCTTTTTTATATTTCCTTTGTATATCCATTTGAAATTGGGAGGGCAGAGAGTTATATGGTATTAGGTTCTCATACCAGTTGACAAAAGTCTATATAAACCATTATCTACCTGAAGTATAACTCTAATATTGTGCAAAATGACACTCAACAGATACGTTGGAGTGGGTTCCTTAAAAAAAAAAAACAACAAACCAAAAACAACTGGGGATTATGGATCTGTGATTTTATCTGTGTAAGAAACTCCTGGAGTAGAAGTTTGCTCTGCTGAAACAGGTTGGTGAACCACAAGTAGGATCAGTTAATTTATTGCCAAACTTGATGGTTCTGAAAAAAACCTCATTTCTCAGTTATCATTATAATAAAGGTATCTATCTACTCCTATGACTTCCAGTTCCACTTAATAGACTACAGTATAATGCAAACATAACTTTTAAATGTACTGGGAAGCAAACAAATATGTGTGACTCAATTTACTTTGGTGGTCTGGAACCAAACCTGCAATATCTGTGGGGTATGTTTATAGCCTATAGAGATAAAGATTTGGGAAATGAATTGGATAGTCAACATTAAAGTGGGCATATTTTGCCAGAGACTCAGCCTTGAAACCAGTTTGTGTTTCAAAGATGTGATAACACCAGGGTTCCCCTACCTCCCCCCACAAAAAAAAACCTTTCCCCTACAATAGGGATTAGTTTCCTCTGGGATCTGTTTGATTCATGCTTCCCTTGTTACCACGTTCTGGTCATCTAAAGGCATAAAAAGTCTTACCTATAAAGAGTTGGGGGGGTGAAAGGAGGGGGAAGATTTCTCACACGGTGAATGTTTGAAGACCACTCAGATCATCATATGATGATCTGCTGACCAGGTTCATTTCCACTTGGAGGAGGCGGGCGGGGCACATCTAGAGGATCCTTGTTTCATATCCTTGCTTTTATGGCAAAGTCAACCTACTTTTGTTAACTGTTCAAAGACTTATGAGTGCCTTATTGGGTCCCCAAGCCAAACCTGAACTGATAGGTTGTTGATGACAGGCCTATCTGTAACATAAGAACATTTTGTACTATGGCCATGAAAGCCTTACATGATGACTTGGGACCCATAGGTCAGTCAACCTCAGGGCTACTAAGTAAGCCTTTCTGGCCCTAGGACTAGCAAGGAACAGATTTTACTAATCCAAAGCTGGCTTCAGATGTTGCCAAGAAGTGTAAGGCTTGTATTTCCTGTATGCAAAGAAGTTACACTTCATGCTTAGAGATTACGCTTTTGAAACTTGTCTCCATTGACTTTCTGTCTCTGGAAGGAAAAAGAACAAATGCCCTATTTTGGAGGGGGTGACTTTTCATTTGGTATGCACTGACACACCTAACCAAGAACCATAAAGTTTCCATGATTGCTAAATACTGTGATATAATTAATTCTTGGTTTATTGATTTCCCGTCAGAGTCCCGTTTAACCAAATCAGAAACTTTGAAAGCGTACTACTTTAGGAGAAGTTAGCTTTTCTTGGAATCAAGAAATCTAAAACTAGATGTTACCATCCTCAAGAGGACCCATAGTCTGAGCATTTCAACTACTCATTCCTGAACATGTTACATACCCAGAGATGAGGTCAAAAAGTCTCAAATAGCGTTAATACGTGATATAACTAATATATGTATACAATACTAGGAATGATTCCATTCACTTTCCACTGTACCTATTGATATTTGGGTGAGAACCATGTCTATCTTTGATTTTTGTTTTGGGGTCTTTGAGGATTAAAAGATTATAGGCACTCAAAACCATTATTCCTCTTTGCCAAAGAGAGAAGCAGAAAGTTTACCGCCTAGTTACAACTTTATAAAGCACTTGAAGGTTTACAAAGTGCCTAACAAATATTACTTCATTTTATCCTCATAGCAAGCCTAGGAGGTAAGCACTATTATTATCCCCATTTTACAAATGGAAAAACTGAGACAGACTAGAAGTTAAGTGAAATACCCACATCAATGTCTGAGGTTGGATTTCAACTTAGTTCTTCCTGATTCTAAGTCCAGTCCTTGATCTACCACCTAGCTGCCTGCAAATGACGAGTGATTGTAAACCCAATGTCAGGGATTACTCAGACACGTGTTTGGGCCTATCTTAGGCTCGGCCCTTCTTGCTCTTCCCTATAACTAATTAGTGATTGTTTCACTGTTGCTGTGCTGACTGCCTCAGCAACCACTGCTGTCTACCCACCTATTACTGGTGCTTCTAAGTGTTAATGCATCACTACTAAAGTGACTCTTGAAATTACTCCTTCTTAGAATTCAAACCAGCTAGATGGGCAACAGGTCAAGCTGGGGATTCAGGTAACTTCCCTTAGTCTATGAGCTGCTGGCCAGAGTTGTGACTAAATGCTCTGATCTCTGCACCTCCCTGGATGGAAAATTCCTGATCAGAGCAAGAATCAGGCTACTGATCCACACATTCTTGTGGCAGGGACTGTTGTAGTCACTAGTCCTAGCTCATGAACCATTACTGCATATAGGGATCATTCAGGCAAGTAGCTGCACCAATATCCTGATGAGCATGGCACTGTGATTAGGCTAGAAGTCTCAAATTCCTTCCTCAGCAATAGGGAACTCCTTTTCTCCCGTAAAGTTGCTGACCAAGGCTGTGACTAGGACCTCTGGCTGCTGGCATCACTAGGACCAGGTCTGCATGTGTCTCAGCAATAGGGAATCCTCCCCACTGTGATCAAGACAAGGCCAGTGCCCTACAGGCAATGAGGCTATGCATCCTACAAAGCAAGTAGGCACTGGTCAGTGAGTGGGGACCCCCATAGGGGTGCATGTGCAGGCTGGAATGCTGTGTGTGCCTTGACTGGTCCCCATCAAGGCTTGGGAGGAGGAATCTGTGTGTTTGACTCAACTGGCCCCCATTGAGGCTTGAGGGGATTTACGGGAGTGCAGAAACTGTACTGGTCTCTACTGACCCCACTGAGATGGAGGGATGATTGCCTCCCTTCACACCTGCCCCTTCAAGAAGGGTTGTTAGAGAATACTGTAGGAATTGGTGCTCCCATTGTCAGCAAACTCCCTTTGAGAAGACTAGACTAGAATTAAGTAAGCTTATTTAACCCCTTTTTATGACTCCATTCCTGTCTTCCTATATGACTGGATCAAAAGTGAACTTGCTAGTGAGAGAGGTGCTAGAGGCCCTCCTGTGTCTCCTACCTGAGAAATGACATAGTCAGTGTGTTTACTTTGTCTAACAGGAAGGAATTGTCTCAATAAACCCAGAGGAAAGGATACTTTCCAAAGTGGGGGAAACCTGAACTCTTTTTTCAAGATATACAGAACCCTCTGAGGAGAAAAGGTGATTGTTCTAGGGAAGGGCCAGAGAAGGTCTGCCAGAAATATATCCAAAAAAAGGTCAATTTTTATCAGGCAAGTTGTTTTGGAAACTATATCCTAGAAACCACTGGGTTAGAGAGCCCTCCCTTTCCCTAGAAGTGCCATTAATTTGTTGCAAACATGGATATTCAAACTTTGTTAGGTCATAATTTGCACTAGTAAGTTTAATTATTTTTTTTTAAACTCTTCAATTACTTCCTGGTGTTAATTTTGTCACAAATTCAAACCTGAACTAAGAGTGCTAGTGTAAGGCTCACCTGTAACATTTGCCATAGTCAATCATTGGGATGAGATGAGATGGCCTATTGGCTCAAATCATAGTTGAACTGGGGAACAGGAATGCAAATATGAAGGATAGATTTATCCAATAACTGAACAATGCATCAATGGGAACTCAAGAACCCTCCTAATTGTGTATGGAGAATATTCTCTATGGGACAGGGAAAGTGGTTAGCTCAGGCATGGTAATTACCTTAGTGGGTGTTGGAGGAGATTGCCCATTTTAAGGTAAAAAAAAAAAAAGCTTATCCACCCAATGGGGGTTAACTGAAGTCTCTAGTGTAGTGAGCCAGGGTTCGGACATGATGAAGGTAGCCAGTTTCTCTCATTTTGGCTTCTTTTCAGTCTTTTCCTTCAGCAACCTGAAGTGGAGTTGGCGTGTCTATTTTCACTCTTGAAGCTGGAAGCCAGAAGTACCTAAAGCCAGAAGTGAACAAAGAGACCAGAGAGACTAGAAGGTCTCCCCCAACTCTGCCCTAATCTCCACCAATGAGGAGACAGCCCCATACCAATGGGCTTTGGGACTCTGGTGACATAATCATATTTGGATATTTTAGTTGTATTTTTGTTCCAGTGTGAAGAATGGCCTAGACCATTAGATTGCAAAGCTAGGTTGTGGCCAGGTTGTGGAGGGCTTTAGGAGAATTACTATGGCAAATGTATGGAGAATGGATTTATTAGACACTTGAGACAGTGACCCTGATTAGTAATTGTCTGGGTGAGAGGTAAGGAGAATCTGAAGGAATGTGGTGGCTGTGTGAATGGAAAGAAGTGGGGTGGGAGACATGTTGACAATGTGAAAAATCTCTTTTATGGTAAAATCTCTAAAGATCACTGAATAAGTAAATACCACGTGGTACGGGGGCAGACACATTAACTTCTCTGCACGTTTCCTTTCCATTAACCCTTTCTTTGTCTATAAAATGTAGATGACACTCCCTGCAGCCCTAACCTCACAGGACTGCTAGGAGGCACTGATGGCATCACGTTTGTAACACGCTTAACACACCCAACTACGAGAGCTACCCGGGAAGGGAGGAGGGAGTTTGCGCGAGGCATCTCTGCGCATGCCCCTTTCCTCCCAGGGCTTCCGCCTTCCCGACAGCCCAGTCTCCGTCTCCGCCTCCGGGCGAACTGGTGACGTCAGCACGCGGGGCGTGCGGAATCCTGCGCGCGCTGGCTCGTCACTGGGGCTCATGGCGGGCTCTGCTGCTCTGGACGTGTCCCAACGCGGGCTGGTGGTGAGAGGAGGCAGCCGATTTCTGGCCACAGGTACAGACCGCAGGTTAGTCGGGTTGGGGCCAAGGAGTCGCGGAGCCGGAGAGTGCGAGGATGTTAACTAGCTGCCGAGCTCCCCGCGGATGCCCGCTTCGGGGCCAGTGAGATTGTCGCGGGCGACTGGTGGAGTTTTTTTTCCCTCCTCTCGCTGCAGTGCTTGGATTCCTGCATGCCGAGAAAGTTAGAGTTGTGTGCAGTAAATTTGCAGAATAACATTCTGATGTGCATCTCACATAATAACACGTGTGCCCCAGCGTCATGAAACAAACAGAGGTCGAAACTCCCTCGTGCTCTCAGTTTGTCGTTCAGCCCGGCCGACTTTGATTCCCTAACTTCTGGATGGTATATTTTTACCTGGCAGATGCTCTTTCACATGTGTTCGTAGTTTACAACTCTTTCCAGATTCTTGTGCACGAATGCTCTGATGTTTTATCAAAGTTATGTCTTAGTCTGCTTCAGAACAATCAATCAACATTTTTCTTTAGATGCTTACTATGTGCCAGTCAGGGTCTGGATGCAAAGCAAAAGACCTAGGTGCAAGCTCCGACCCCTTCACTTACTGACCATGTGTCATTGGGCCATCCTACTATTCTTTTGTAATTGATTCTGCTTGCCACAGAAGCTGTTACAAAACTTTTCATCTCATAGGAATCCTTCCTACTACCTTCTCTTGCAGAGGGCCTTACTTTATAACTTCACCCCCCCCCCATCTCAGCCATTCCTCCCTTCTATTCTCCTCTTCCTCTTACATCTTTCTGTCATCAGTCCGCAACTTTCTTCTGCTCCTCAAGGCGAGCCCCTGTACATGTGCTTTTGATCCCCACCGCTCTTGTCCGTATATTGTCCCCACTAACTTTCCTACTCTAATCTTCAATCTCTCCCTATTTATTGGCTTCTCTGCCGCCTACAGTCACACCCACATCTTCCTCATCCTTAAAAAACTCTCACTAGATCCTACCATGGACCCCAGCTGTCGTTATCTATGTCTTTCCTTCCCTTCCAGGCTACAACTTATATATTCTTCTTCCTGTCCTCTGTCCTAGAGCCTCCTGCCTCATCAGCATTCGACTGAAACTGCTCTTTCCAGAATAACTAGTGATCTCTTTTTTTCTCCGATTATGAAACATTTTTTTTATCCCTCTTAACTCCCTCCACTCCACTTGGAAAAAAAGAAAATAAAACCCTTTTAACAAAACAAATTCCCATGTTGTCCATGCCTAGAAATGTCTCATTCTGCATATTGATCCATTACCTCTCTGTCATGATATGAATAGCATTCTTCATCGTTGGTCTTCTGGAATTATGGTTGGTCATTATGTTCAGAGTTCTTAGGTGTTTCAGAATTACGTTAGCATAATATATTGTATAAATTGGGTTCTTAATTTCTTTGTATCAGTTCATGTTTCTCTGGAAAAAGTGTCTTCATTTTTTTCAGTGCAGTATGCAGTAGTCGCTTATCTAGGCTCTAAATGAAAATTGCAATTTGATTAAACTCATTTTATAGCTATGCATGATGTTTTGTGTACTTGGTGGCCACTTAAAGCTTATGTTCAGAGCCTTCCAAGCCGTTTAACCACAAATCTGTTATGTGGCATCAATGTTTTATTTTTATTTAGATGATTATTGATAATGCTGAACAGTGAGCACCCGGTTTATTAATTCACTCCAGTCTCATCAGTTTAAGTTATTTGAGCAAATCTGAATGGTGGCAAGTACAGATTTTAAATGACAAGATTCTCTGTTAATTTCAAAGTGAAAAAGTAGATGACGTGCAATCATTTGTAAAACTTGACTTTCTAATGTTAAGTCCACCTCTTTGGGTATATTTTTTCTAAATAAGTAAGATGAGTCCTGGAGTTGGAGTCAAGAGACTTGGGTTCCAGTCCTGCTTGATTTGTGACCTTTGGCAAGTCTTTAAGTCACTGCACAGATGCAATATTCAGAGGTTTTATTGATAAATTTTTCATAGACTGTTTTCTTTCTTGTTATGTGTAAGATTGATCACCTTCTGGTCAGAATGCTGATCTGTAAGTGAGGAAGACCAGGGTTCAAATCCAACACTAGACACTAGTTGTGTACACCTGGGAAAAGAAGTTATCTCAGCCTGTTTTCCCATCTATAAAATGGGAATATAGCAGCATTATCGTGAGGATCAAATGAGGTAATAGTAATAACAACAATAATAATAATGATAGCTAATATCTATATAGCATTTGCTATGTACCAGTGCTATGGCAAGCACTTTATAATTATTATTTCATTTAATCCTTAGTACAACCCTGTGAGGTGGATATTATTATCCACATTTTACAGATAAGGAAACTGAGGCAAACAGAGGTTAAGTAACTTTCTCAGAGTTACATAGCTGTAAATGTGTGAGGCTGGATTTGAATTCAGGTCTTTCCAACTCCAGACCCATTACTCTATCCACTGTGTCCGCTAAAATATGTAACACACTTTGCAGACTTTAAAATTGTTATTATTTATTGAGATAGGATCTAAACATTTTTTAAAATTTGTAACTGAAAAAAGGAAATTTGGATTCTCATTCTTTTTCTTGACTTATTCAAACACGGTGATGACAACTGCTTACAATTTAGCACCTCTTTAGTAATATGTTCTTTTTAAAATTACTTTCAGTGATGATGACAGCTTCTTTATATATGACTGCAGCAAGGCAGAAAAGAAGCCACAAGAGGATAAAGGGTGAGATGATTGTGGGGAACTTTTCAGGGCCCATTAATAGTTTTTAAGATTGAATCATACCAGTGAGAGTTATTTAGAAGCTGAATCTTTAATTTTCCTGCCAAGTTTCATACATTTGATACGAAATTCAGAAAAAGGTATTGAAGCTTCTAATTTTGAATTTGAGAATTTTTTGGAGGTTTCTGTAGATACTGTAGATAGGGTTCAGGGGTATTAAAAGACATGTTGTTGAACATTAACAAAAAAAAATAAAGCATTCTTTTAAGTTAAAGAATTAAAATGGTTTTACTCTTGAAAAATTTCCCTCCTTCTTTATTGCTCATCTTAGCAGGAAGCTTCTTTTTCCCTTCTGTTCCCTTCCACTGGGCTGTCTGACATTCCCTTTTCCTTCTTCCCTTCTTCTCCATAACCAACTCCCCCAGCTAACCCCTAAGGTTTGGAGGTGTTTCAGGGACTGTGAGTTGACTGGGGAAATTACTTGTGATATATAGTTTCATGGGATGAATTTCTTTGATACAATTCTAATTAATTTTATTTTTAATTTCATTAAGCACTTATATTCAAACATCATGAAATCTTTTACTTGATGGATTTTATGAATTGTAATGTTTTAGCTGAATCCTTCATTTGCCTATTGATGATCAATCATGGAATTCAGACAGTGATATTTACTTGATGTTTATTCTGTCTTCTGCTTCTTAGAGAGGAGGGACAGACATTGTACAAAGGAAGTGATAACATCCTAGCTTCTACCTTCTCAAGATCTGGCAACTATTTTGCTTTGACTGATGACAATAAACGTCTGATTCTTTTCTGTACAAAACCTTGGAAATGTCTGAGTATCAGGTATGAAATTCTGCTTTTTAAATCATTCAGATATCATATACATAAAGTAATACCTATTGTCAAAAGAGTTTGGGAATACTCTGTTTTTGTTTATGTTTGTTTATTTTTTTCTTTTGTTTATTTTTCTCTTAACAGTTGTTGGAGTTATACAAGTAACAGCACCTGAGTACTTTAATGATTTGTAAAGTGGTTTCCTAGTAGTTCCTGCAGTGTTGTTATTCTCATTTTCAGTCAGATGCATTTATTAAGGACCCATTATGTGTTGGCACTGTACTAAGCTCTGGGGATGCAAAAGGAGGCTCCCTGCCATCAAGGAGCTCACAATCTACTTAGGGAGACAACAAGCAAAAAATAATGTACAAACAAGCTAAATACAGATTAAAAAGGAAATCATTAAAAGAGGGAAGGCACTAAAATTAAGAGGAGTTGGGAAAGGTTTCTGGCAGAAAGCAGGATTTTAGTTGGGACCTAAAGAAAGCCAGAGAGATCAGTAGTTGGAGTGGAGGAGGGAGACTTTTCCAGGTATGGAGGACAGCCAGAAAAAATATCTGGAGCCAAGAGATGGAGAGTCTTATTTGTGAAACAGTAGCAAGGCCAGTATCACTGGATCAAAGGGTGTGTGTAGGGGAATGAGGTGTGGGAAGACTGGAAATGTAGGAAGGGGCTAAGTTATGAAGGGCTTTGAATGCCAAACTGAACATTTTTAATTTGTTCCTGGAGGAAATAGGAAGCCACTGGAGTTTATTGAGTGGTGGAGTATGGGGAGGAATGACATGGTTGGACTTGCGCTTTAGGAAAATCACTCTGGTAACTGAGTGAAGGGTGGATTGGAGTGGTGAGAGTCCTGAGGCTGGCAGATCCACCAGTAGGTAATAGCAATAGTCTAGGCATGTAGTAATACCCTAGAGTGGTGGCAGTGTCAAAGGAGAGAAAGGGGCATATTCCAGAGGGATTGCAAAGTTGATATCAACAGGCCGTGGCAACAGTTTAGATGTGGAGAGTGAGAAATAGTGGGGAATCTGGGATCATTCTAGGTTGTGAGCCTGAAGGAGGCTCAATTCTGGAGCTAGCTCAGTTCCTTTTCTATTCAATTATGGGTCCAGTTCATTTCTGTCTTTGAGAAAACTATTCAGTTGTGGGAAATGGGAGAAAACCTTATTGCATTGGCATGCCAGTACTGTCCATGGGATTTTTTTGGCAGAGATACTTGAATGGTTTGCCATTTCCTCCTCCAGATTTTTGTTTTTATGTCACCTTAATTTACAAATATATCCTTCCTCTATCTCTATCCTCGTAACAAAGACTAAGGAAGAAAGGAGGAAAAAACAATTTAGTAAACTGACCTACATATCAAATGTAATTACTAATTAGTGTCCTTGCTTCTAATCTTCCCTGTACAATCAGTCCACTTTCCATACAGGTATGCAAATAATCTTTCTAAAACTCAAGCTTGATTATGTCACTGTCCTGCTCATCAATCGTGAGTGACTTCTTGATGCTTGGAGGAGTAAGTGCAAATTTCTGACAGGCATATAAAACTTTCTACAATCTGGCTTGTATCAATCTTCCAGAGTTAGTTTGCATTACTCCTATTCATACACTCTGTATTCCTGCCAAACTGGCTTACTAGGTGTTCTCTGATTCAGTATTTCATCTTTACTTTGTCCCCCACGTCAAGAATATATTCTTTCTTTACCTGTGTATGTCTGGATCTTTATTTTCATTCGAAGTCCAGTTTAGGTGCCACCTCTATGAAGCTTTCCTTGCCTCTGCCCTCATTTGCTTTTATTTACTTGTATGTGGCAACTTATATCTTTCCAATAAAATGTCAGTTACTTAAGGGCAGGCGCTCTTATTTTTGCCTCTCATTCCCTAGCCTCCAGTACAGTACCTTGCTACATGTTTAGTGAATTGAATTGAATAGCATCACTGTTTCCTCTTTTTTTTAAATGAAGGGGATGGACTAGTTGGTGTCTAAGATTTCCTCCATTTCCAATATTCTGTGATAATATTCTAAGGATATATTACATTATTCCTTGCCACCTTTATTAATCAGTCCTTAATGTTCTTTGACTTCCAGGACAGTGGTGAGAAGATGTACCTCTCTGACATTTACAGCTACAGATGAGAAGATTTTGGTGGCAGATAAGTCTGGAGATGTATATTCATTTTCAGTATTGGCACCATATCAGAGTGGAAAACTTGAACTTGGACACCTGTCTATGTTGTTGGATGTGGTATGTAGTTGACTAGTTCATTAACTTTTTCTTTTTTCCCTTTTTCTTTAAAGATTAAATCTCTCCATCTCACCTAGGCTGGAAGTACAGGGGCTACTCATGGGCCCAGTCCCACTACTGACCATCATTGGAGCCTTGAACTGCTGTATTTCCAGTGTGGACTGGTTTGTCCCTCCTTAGGCAACTTGGTGGTATCTCACTCCATATTCATGCTAAACTTAGTGGAGACACCTGATTGACATAACCCACTACAGCTTAGAATCCCTGAGCTCTAGAGATTCGTCAGCCTCAGTCTCCCTGGTAGCAGGGACTACAAGTGTGTGCCACCATGCCCAGCCCCAATTTTGTTTTAAGGTCAGTCATGTGATCTTTTTTTTTCCACATTTGATTATTATTTTATTAAATTTTCTTTATTATAAACTTGAACATCAACAAATATGATCATTTCCATATACAGTATGATGAGTAGAAAAATGATGTATATGAAATCAGAAATCTGTTAGGTACTGCTTTTAAAAAATATTTATAACAAATTTAACATGTCTCTGTTTCTGAACTTCTTTCTTTTATATTTGATTATTGATCAGATATGTAATCCCTATAGAAATGAAGTTCTAAGTCATGGCTGTTGTAGGGAAGATGTGATTATCTCATCAGCCTTATTATGAGAATTACCGTGGCACTTTAATTCCCATTCTATAACAGTGAAATTAAGGCAACTTTATGGTCTTTTATTCTTTGGGATTGATTTTTGCCTTGTTTGTCAAAACAGACCCAGCACAGCCTGCATTAGCCTCAGTCATGTGATCTTTAAAAAAATTAGTTGCTAACTTATAGTTACTTACATTGTGAGTTTAATGAGTTTCCTCTCCTACTTTTTTACCAAGTGAAGATGAATTGGGTAGATTATCTATCTATGGTACTTAGAAGTCCTGGGAGAATACTAAGTAGCATTGTTATTTTCTTGGTTCATTTCTTCAAAGATCTATAATTTTGGGGGTATGGATATACCTCCTCCACTATTGTAGATTGTAAACTCATAAACAATTTTCTGAAGTTGCTGTGGTTGAGAAATTTACCCCTCTGAAGCCAAACTGACAATAAGCCTTCCCAAATTTAACCTGCAGAGAATCTTTCACCAGGCTTGTAAAATCCTTCCAACTTGGTAAAACCTCTCTGCTATAATTTGTATTTTGTTGTCATCACCTTTGAGAACACCAGTTCAGCTTCATAGCAAATGAGAGATTGGAATGATTTTTCTTGGGTAAAGTGGAATAATTTATGTTTTCCTATTAAATTTGAAGAGTTAGGAAAAATTAAAGACAAATCCCTAAACAAAATTAAAATATGCTCTTTTTTTAGTTATATATTTCAACACCTGTGAAGTCTTGGATATTAACAAAATAAAGTCATGGATTCAGAGTTTAGAACTTAGTTTTGTCAGTGATTTACCATGTGGGGATATAAAAATAAAAATGAAACAGTCTCTGCCCACAGAACGATATAACACAGAGTTTGGGGAACAGCTGGCATGCCAGGTTGGCTTGAAATAGATCTGGGAAGGCAGTTTGGAGCCAAATTTTGGAGTGATTTCTGAGCAAGGGTGAAATGGTTAGATTTGTGTTGTAGGAAGATTATTTTGGCAGTAGTGTGGAAGGATCAGTTGGAGAAGTTAGAAATTAGAAACAAGGAGACCAATTAGGAGATTATTGCCATGATCCATGTAGGAGTTTGTGGTCTTAAATTAGAGTTGTTGAGAGAAGGGGCTGGATAAGGAAAATGTTGTGGAGGTAATTAGCATGATTTGAACAATTCAGATCAAGTGTTTGTTAAGCACCTATACTTTGCCAGGTACTGGGGATACCCAGAGACAAAAGCTAAATAGTTAACTGCTTTCATGGAACTTTGGTGGTATATGAGGGAGAAGAGAGAGTCAGGGATAGCTCTGAGGTTAAAAATCTGGGTAACTGAAAGTATAGTGTTTTCCCTCAACAGACATAGGGAAATTTGGAAGAAGAGCAAGAGTGTGGGAAAAGAATGGATTCAGTTCCAGTGGCTCCTTATTGCCTCCAAGATGAAATACAAAATGCTGTCTTTGGTTTTCAAAGCCCTTCATAACTTAGATTCCTTCTACCTTACCAGTCTTCTTAGACTTTAGTCTCCCAATACATACTCTTCAGTCTAGTGACATTGGCTTTCTAACTGTTCTATGAACAAGATACACCATCTCTTGGCTCCAGGTATTTTTTCTGCTTGTTCCCCATACCTGGAACACTATCCTTCCTCTGCCCTACTACTGACCTCCTTGGCTTTGTCCCAACTAAAATCCCATCTTTTACTGGAAGCCTTCCTCAGCCTCTCTTAATTGTAGAGCTTTACCTCTGCTAATTATTTCTTATTTATCCCATATATATATCTTGCTTTGCATATATTTGTTTGCATGTTGTCTGCCCCATTAGATTGTAAATTCCTTGAGGACAAGGATGATTTTTTGCTTCTTTTTGTGTCTTCATTGCTTAGCACAGTGCCTGGCACGTAGCGGATGCTTAATAAATGTTTATTTATTGATTGAATTTTGGATATATCATCTGAATAGAGATGGTAATTGAACCCACGATGCCCATGAACCAGGTTAGGGAGAAAGCTTTACGGAAAACCTACAGTTAAGGGGTGGGATGTGATGGGGATGATGAATCTGCAAAGGAGAATGAGAAAAAATGGTCAGGGCTGTAGGAGAACCAAGAGGGAGCAGGTTTAATAAAGCCAAGGGAGGAGATAGTATCTAGGAGTGGTCAACAATACTAAAATTATAGAGAGATTAGGTTAATAAGTTGAATGAGAACAAAAGAAAAAGTCACTGACTTTAGTAGGTAAGGATCACTGATAACCTTGGAGAGAGCAGTTTTGGCTTAGTAATAACCAGCTGTGGTTGATAGTGGCTGAGGTAAAATGAAGATATACCAAGGCCTTATTCCAAACAGGCTAGATTTTTTCTTTTAAAAGTACTGAAATTATCCTCAGTACTTACTGGCATGGGGAACTAAAAACTTGGGCTTTTTTTACTTCCTGATAACTTAAGCATAAAGCCATGGCACAAGGAGCCATCAGCTGCTCTGATGGATAGTCTTCTGACTGGTGGACCAGCGTGGACAATAGAGAGGCAGGAAAGCTACACTCTACTGAATCAGTGCTCTATTCTTGCCGAATATCCTATCCCTGCTAGAGCTAAGAAGAGTATTTTGTAATTGTGTGCATGTAATTTCTGTGTATCCTGGCAAGTAGACTTCCAAGTATTTTATATTGTCTGCAGTTATTTGAAATGGAATTTTTCTTTCTATCTCTTCCTCTTGAGTTTTGTTGGTAATATAGAGAAATGCTGATGATTTGTGTGGAATTATTTTATACCCTGCAACTTTGCCCAAGTTGATAATTGTTTTGACTGGTTTTTTAGTTGACTCTCTAGGGTTCCTTAGGTAAACTATTGTGTCATCAGCTACAAAGTGATAGTTTCCTCTTTGCCTGTACTTATTCTTGTCCTATTACTATGGCTAGCATTACAATATTGAATAGTAATGGTGATAACGAATATCCTTGCTCCACCCTTGATTTTACTGGAAAGGCTTCTAGTTTATCCCCATTATAGATAATACTTGCTCTTAGTTTTAGATGGATACTATTTATCATTTTAAGAAAAATTTTATTTCTTCCTATGCTTCCTAGTGTTTTTAACAGGAATGAGTTGTATTTTGTCAAAAGCTTTTTCTACATTTATTGAAATAATTATGTGATTTTTGTTGCTTTTGTTATCAATATGGTCACTTATATTTACAGTTACCTAATATTGAACCAGCCCTGCTTTCCTTGTATGAATCTGGCCTTCTCATAGTGTATGATATTGGAGATAAAATGTTGCAATCTTTTTGCCAGTATTTTAAAAATCAGTATTCATTAAGGAAATTGGCTTATAGTTTTCTTTCTCTGTTTTGACTCCCTGGTTTAGATATCAAGACTGTATTTATGTCAGAGAAGGGATTTGGCAGGACTCCCTTCTCTGTTTTTTCAAACAGTTTATATAGTGTTGGAATGGTGTTCTTTAAATGTTTGGTAGGATTTGCTTGTAAACCTAACTGGTCCTGAGGGTTTTTTTTTTTGTCTGGGAGTTCTTTTATAACTTGTCCAATTTATTTTTCTGAGATTAGATTACTTAAGGTCTCCATTCCTGTTCTGTTAATCTGGGCATCTTATATTTTTGTAAATAGTCATCCATTTCTTTGAGATTGTAAATTTTATTGGCATTTAATTAGGTGAAATGCTTTCTGATAATTTCTTTTATTTCTTCTTGATTGGTTGTGAATTTCCCTTTTTCATTTTTGATGCTAGTAATTTGAATTTCCTTTTTTACAAAAAACCTAATTCACTAATGATTTTGTCACCATTTTATTGCTGTGGTTTAAAAAAAAACCAACAAACTCTATCAGCTCCTAGATTTATTAATTCCATTATTGTTTTTCTTTTAGTCTTAATAATGTCATCTTTGATTTTCAGCATTTCTTTTTGATGTATAAATGAAGACTTTTAATTTGTTGGTTTTCTAGTTTTTTTAGTTGCATTCCAATTTCTTTATCAGCATTTTCTCTTTTAGTGATGAAAATGTTTATAGATATGTTTTTTTTTTTTTTTTTAAAGAATTTCTTTGGCTCTACCCCACAAATTTTGGCTTGTTGTTTCATTGTTTCCATTTCCTTTAATGAAATCATCTGTTGTTCCTATGATTTGTTCTATTTTAGGATTAAATTATTTACCTTCTAATCATTCAGAAGGGCCCCAGAAGTAGAAGATAATGCTAGGTGACCTCAAGGGTTGCAGTGATCTTTCAGTATGAAGAGGTTCTTGGTAGATGTGTTTTAATATTTGTTTTTTTGTATTGGTTAGGTTTTTTAAACCTGTTTTTTTTTAAAAGGTGTCTTAAGAGTATATAAAATATAATCTGGGGTGTATAA